TGGAATTTGCTTGCTGACCTGGAGGAGTTTCTCCCACTGCCACCGTACAAGGTTTGGGACTGGTTTGTGGTTTGTGTGATCCACCATTTGCACCGTATCCTGCCAAGAGGTGACAATTGGCTGGTGGGTCAGCTCATGGGCCCACCATTAAAATCTATCAGAACTGCAGATCCAGAAGACCACTTTTCAGCACCAGTCTTTGAGAACTTTCTGCTTCTCGTGCTCCATGCCTTGCTTATTTGCTTTTAAAGTGTTTGGTTTTCAATGACATTGTGTTAAAATGGTGCCTTGACTTAGCACCCACCAGATGTTCTTGACTACAACTTGCATTTGCTGTCCAGGGTTCCAAAATATATCCAGATTAATGGAAAGCAGGCATGGTACATTCCCACATGGATTTGCTGGTCTGAACTGCCCCCTTCATGGGGATATATGCCATTGGTTAAATCCATGCTGTCAGGTTTCATGAATTCTCAGCCATCCTTCATTCTGTTGCCCACATTGATGGAATTTGGCTTTTTAAAGCACAACATGTCATTCTACTTGTGCTAATGTGCATTAACACAATAAGCCCTTGCACAAATGGGCATTAGTTAGTGTGAATTAGCATGACTTTCCCCATCCCCTGGAGTGCAACACTGGTTTGTCTATCTGTAGAATCCTTGATTGAGAAAAAGGAGGTCTGCTGCGAGACCCACAGGTGAGAATCATAGAAACAATTCTTTGATTCTGTTCTCTGTTTCTGATGACCTTAGCTGCATATATTTGTTTTTTGCTGTTTTTTGCTGTTTTTTTCTTCAAATCTTTTATTAATTGTTGTACTTTGTCATGGTTTGTAAGATGCTGAGAGATGCAAGGTACTTGGAGGGGACGTGGGTGACAGATGAGATGGGGTGATGGCACACGCCTGTTCCCCAGAGGCCAAGCCAGATGAGGCCCGGGTGTTTCAGCCATGAGACATTTCCAGCCCCTCTCTCTCCCTGCTGCAAGTGTTGATGGCAGTCCCTGGCCCTGAGAGAACCTTGGGGCTGTGAAGGTGCCGGAATCCAGATCAGAAGAGAGACACAAGCAGATTAGGCCAAAAGACTCAATCAAGGGTCGAAAATCTGGACGAGAGACAAGCTGGGGATCGAGGAGCTGCCGCTTCTCCCGACATATTCCCACCCCACCCCCGCCCCCGCTGCCCTACTAATCTTTGCTTGGCTGAGGTTGCAGCATCGTCAGCAGTGTCTCGTCTCCTGCTTGTCTTCCTGCCAGGGAAGGCAGCCAGGAGGTCTCCAGGTTTGTGCTTTGAAGGACCCCAGCATGGCCAAAGGATGCTTGCTGACTACATTTTACCCTACTGAGCAATTTGATTTGGTGGCAGAAAGTCACAAAGTACATAAAGTATCTTGACTTCAGCAAAGCTTATGAGAAAGTGTCCCATGATATCCTGGTTAGCAAGCTAGTTAAGAGTAGACTAGATGGAACAACAATCAGGAGGATCTGTGATTGGATACAGAATCAGACTCAAAGAGTATGCATCGATGGCACCTTCTCAGAACAAGTGGGGTACCACAGTGTTCAGTCCTGTGCCCAGGGCGCTTAAAATCTTTAAATGATTTGAACAAAGATGTGCAGGGGACACTAATCAGATCTGCAGATGGCACAAATCTGGGTGGGGCAGCCAATACCCTGAAGGATCTTGACAGGTCAGAGTGCTGGGCTGAAAACAACAGAATGAAATTCAACAGGGACAAGTGTCAAGTTTGCACCCAGGAAAAGGGAACCAGGCGCATCATTGCTAGATGGGAAATACCTGGCCCAAAATACTGTCAGTGAGAAGGATCTTGGAATTGTTGTTGTGGATCACAAGTTGAATACAAGTCAACAATGTGCAGTGGCTGCAAAAAAGGCAAATGCTATTTTAGGCTGCATCAACGGAAGTATCACTTCCAGATCCTGTGAAGTGCTAGCTCCCCTCATGACCTGTGAGGCCTCACCTGAAGTCCTATGTCCCGTTCTGAGCACCCCAGTGTAAGAAAGATGCAGACAAGCTGGAAGGGTCCGGAGGAGGGCAACAAGGATGATCCGAGGACTGGAAACCAAGCCCTGTGAGGACAGACTGAGGGAACTGGGCATGTTCAGCCTGGAGAAGAGAAGACTGAGGGGAGAAAGATGGCACGCTGCAAGTACGGTGGTCCCTCGGCTCACAGACGCCTCCGTTCACGACCAAATCGGTTCACGAACAGAAATTTAGGAAAAAATTTTCCTCAGGTTACGAACTCCACCCGGTGATGATCGTGATCCCATTCCCTCCCCACAAGCACGCCCGCGATCCCCCTCGAGTGCGCCCATGATTGCGCCCATCTTCCCTATGATTAAAAACAATATTTACAGAATGGATTAACCTTATTTACATCGAATGTTATGGGGAAATTTGACTTGGCTCACAACCAATTTGGGTCACGACCAGAGTCCTGGAATGGGTTAAGTTCGTGAGCCGAGGTACCAGTGTACCTCAAAGGCTGTCAGAGAGAGGAAGGGCAGGATCTCTTCTTGATCATCCCAGACTGCAGGATGCAGAACGATGGGCTCAAGTTACAGGAAGCCAGAATTTGGCTGAACATCAGGAGGATCATTACAACAGTAGAACCCATGACCCAGAGGCACACAAGATGAAACTGGGTGGCCACCCGAGAGGGATGGTTTGAGTCCTGCACTGAGCAGGGGGTAGGACCCTCTGCCCCTTCCAAACTCTATTCTTCTGAGTCTATGAGAGCTGTGACAACTGGAATCTCACTTTATTTTTTAGGGACCATAGAACATCAATAGATTACCTGCTTTGCTTGCTGGGAAAAGACTTCTGCCCGATGCCCTAGGGAATTGTTGCCTATCAGCATGGACAAGGCTGAATTAGATAAGGATGTGATTTGGTAGAAGGAACTCCCTGTGTTCTATTTCAAATCAGCCACTTCTTTGAAACAATGAGGGCTAGAACCTTAACATTCAGGTAGGGGGAAGACTAGCTCAGTGCAGAGCTTGGCATGCTCAATTCAATCGCTGACATTTCCAGGTGAGGGCAGGGCAGGGATGAATCCTTCCCAAGAGTCACTGCCAGTCAGTGATGTGAGACTGGACTAGATGGGTAAAACATGTGAGCTGGTACATGGGGACTCTGTTCTGTAGGCCTGGATGCATCGTTTAGCTCAGAAAAGGATTTGGAGGGGCTGAACTGCTATTGTTACTTTTTTATTTTACAGGGCAGAGGGAGATAAATTTTTGGGAGGAAACAATTTCAGGCTACATCTTAATGCTCCAGTCATCCCTGCTGGTAGCCTACCGTGGGCCACAAAACTGGAGGCCTCTGGGGAACTTTCCTCTCCTGAACCTCACAAGCAGCAACTTTGTGAAACTCTCCGAGGAGGCTTGGTTACCCGAACCCACCATCACTTTGGCCACTGCAGAGCTCAGCCGGCCCCATAATGTACGAGAGGAGGAACAGAGGGCAGTGTTAGGCCTTGAGCTACCAGTGCTTGTTCCGAGAATATAGGGTGGGGAGGTGGCAGAAACAGGGCAAGCAGCCTGCTGCCCTTCGGTCAGACATCTGCATATCAGAATGCTGCCGGATCAGCCGGTGCTACAAGCCTGGTTTTGCTGATTTAATGAACCCACTTGGTCCTGGTTCTGGGCTTGGCCCTGGTCTCCATGTGGATGGGCATGGAAAAAACTGGAAGGCTTCCAGGGGCAGAGGGAGGTTTGCCAGGCCAGGTCACACCACCCCTGGAGCATTCTGCTTGTCAAGGGCTCCAAGCTCAAGGGCAGAAGACCTTGGTGCATCTACTGGATGTTCTGGGTTCAAGCCCTGGCAGGAAAGGCTGAAGCTCCCAGTGTCTCTGCATGATGTATCCCACTGGGGCTTTGGCCCAAACTTCTGAGCTGCCTGCAGTGCTGAATTACACCTCCAGCTAGGTTCAGCACCACGGAGAGCTCCCTTAACAATCGGAGGGAAGCCAGCAATCGATCTGTGAGCCAGTGTTGTCCCCTGGCATCTCCTGCTGAACCTGGAAAAGCTTCCTGCCTGAACCCAATATAAAGCCACTTTCTACATTCTCACTGTAAGTGGCCCTCAGTCCAGAACCCTGAGGACTAGAATCTTGCCTTAACTTCAGGAGACAAAGCAAGACAGGTCAAGCCACTGCTCTCTCAAATTATGGCAGGAAAAACCCTTGAGAGAAAGTTCCCTTTAGGGTTTCTCCTGCCCTTCTCCAGAGTTCTAATGCAAGGCATTCCTGTGATGCCTCAGCCTAGCCCCGTTCCAGCAGACTGGTGAGAATTAAAATGGCTGCTGGCCAACACTACCCAGTACTCCCATCACAGAAGGTCCATCAGAAGGCAGCTTTCTCCAGGAGCCTCAAACCTGGTGCTAGCTTAAAGCCGAGAGGCAAAGGAAATGGCACGATGCAGCTGCTTCAGCGTATGGGTGCACCTGGGTCTCCAACCCGAACAGGCTGCAAAACAAGAATAGTCTGCCTTTGGCCCTGTCAGTTCTCTTTCTGGGAAACACGTGTTGTGCAATTGGCCATGTCCTCCATGGAGTGGGCACACACACCCTACCCTGCAGCAGCCATTTTGGAGCCGACCCGTCAAGCTTTGCAGGGCAGCCACCCCATGCTTCTTACACACTTCCAAGCAGGAATGCTGCTCGGCTCAGGCCTGGGAACAGAACAATTCCCCTGGCAGTGCTTTGGCAAAGACGCAAGGAAGCCCGCCCATCCCTCCTTGTTCGAGCAGCCCTTCTTTGACAGCTGAAGGAAACAGAAGACCTTGCACTCTGGTTCCACAACATCCAACCATGCAACTAGGCTGGCTCTGGGGAGGCAAGAGGACCTCTGCAGAACGGTGCTGCTCCGATGGAATGACAGAATCCCTTTAATGCCTGAAGCACAGAATTAAAACCATCAAGAGCAGGGTTCTCTCTTTGAAAGGGAAGAAAAAAGAACACACAAAAATTACCAACATTTTTAGATTACAGCAACGTGTTTTATAATACTATATATATAGTATTATATATACATATATATATAGTAAAGCCCACTGAGCTGCCTCCTCAGTCATTCCTGCAGCCACGGTCAGGCCCCAGCCTCGTCTTGGTCATCCTCCTTCCTGTCCTTCTTCCCCTCTACCTTGCTCTCTGCCTCCTTCTCCATGTCCCAGTGTCGTTTCCGGCTGTATGAACCAGGCTGGGTTTTCAGCAATGGTAAGGGCTCCATGCCCAGCACTTTGTGGATCTGACGGAAAGCGAGCATCCGTAAAGCATGCTGGAAAGGAGGAGACTTGGGATTAGGACTGCTGGCCAAAGACCTGTTCCGACTCATGCGAGGGACTTACATTAATTTCTGGGGCTTCCCCGTCCCCTGAGGCAGGCCAAATCCACCCAAAAAGCTGAACACCCCCCACATACTTCCTCCAAAACATCTACTACATGTGCAGGGTACGGCTGGTAGAAATGGGCACCACCCCAAATGGAGAGGCACAAACAAGCCATGGTGCCTGAAGCCCCCTTGGGAAGATGGAACAAGTTGAACGTCTCTTTAGTCCTGGCCCTGGCTAATAGCAAGTGGGCATGAAGGAGTGCCAAAAGCACCCTGCATCCATCCCAAAGCCAAGGCAGCGCACACAGGGCTGAAGAGGCGCCCAAGCCCACAGCTGGGCACCAGAGACCCCTTTGGGAAAGGCAGCATGCTCTGGAACATGGCACAGACTGGGGTGTGAGACCTGTGTCAGCTGGTGTGGGTAGGCAGAGGCCGTCCCACAGATATTTTCAGGGGTTGCTTTATTTTATTTATTATTTTATTTATTTTGGGGCAGGTGGGGTCAAAAGCTCAAAGGGAAGGATTAAAGCGCCAGCGTATCGTAGCTTAAAGCATTTCTTCACTTCAGCTGAAACCAAGCTGAGGCATTTCAACCACTCAGAATGGGGCAAGGGATGGCCAAAAAACAGGGATCCACCCCACAATGGGCAGCTGGGAGAATGGGGGTGTGAGCTATGCCCATTTGGCACAGAGGCTGCTGGTATAAGTGACGTTTTGACCAAGAGCTTGAATGGCCTGGAATCTTGTGTCGCATGAACACAAGCAGGGTGCCAGGAAGATCTTAATTGTTCCAAAATTATTTGCTAGCCTTCCCAGCCTGGGGCCACACACCAGTCCCCAACTGCCTGCATTGGGGTACAGCTGAGGATGATGAGACCTGAAACCCCACATGGTTGGAGGGTGCTTTGGGCTGCAGAAATCTGCTTGCTAGCACAAATGTGAAGAATCCGTGTTTTCTGCTAGCTGGTGGGTGAGGGGGTGCAGCTCACCTGGCTGCTGGCCGTGACGTCCTCCCGCTGCTGCTGGGCCATGCTCCGTAAGGCATCTATGGGCTCCTTCTCACAGGGGTCCTGCAGGCCGGGGCCATCTGAGCAGAAATCAGGATTATTTCCAATATATCCTCCAATATATCTTGCCTTTTTCCTACAAAGGGCTCAAGGCAGCTTACATCTGCTCCTCCATCTTATCCCCACAACAACAACCCTATGAGGTAGGTTGGGCTGAGAGTCTGTGACTGGCCCAGAGTCACCCACTTGGCTCCATGGCTAAGCGGGGACTAGAACCCAGATCGTCTGAGTCCCAGTCCAGTGCTCTTAACCACTACACCACACTGGCTCTCAATTATGACCACAGGTTACATGTAGTGGATGAGGAAGAGATACACAGGGTCCCCACATGCTCTTGGTCAACCCCAGTAGACTGATCCTGCAAGGGGCTTCCCTACTGCTGGTATATTCAGTTTCATAATTGTGATGAAAGATGCATGACTTTGGCACAGGAAGGAAACAAGGATGCAGGGAGAAGATGGCCCCAAGAGCTTTGCCCATGCTTGCAACAGAGGTTCAAAGCCTTAAGAAATGAGCTCAGTGAGAGACGGACTACTGCACTGGGTTTGCCTCTTTCCAGGCAATGACCACTGTGGGGCAGTGCAAGCTGCACATCTCCCCATCTCATTAGCATGCATACACCTGCCTCAGCACCCTGCTTTTATAACTTCCTTTGGAGCAGGGCAGAAGTTCCTGCCAGTCGCCACAGTTAAACCTTTTCTTAAAAGCAAAGATTCAAGTGACCCGAATCCATAAAACCTTGCAGAAATCTAAGATTTTGAAAGCTGGAGCTGCATGAAAGACCTTCTCCAGGCCCACTTGCAGGGCGATGCTATGCCAAAGCACGCTGGGGCCAGCAAACCCCTGGACGGAGCAGGGGGTGCCAGACTGGGCTGGCCCGCTCCTCCTGGTGGTGGAGCCCTGCTCAGTGACAGGGGAATGGCAAACAATCAGTGTTCCTCCAATCTGAACTGGTCAGTTGTGGAACTGAGCGACAGCTCTGAAATGCCAAGTGGTGAACTTCAGCCTCTGAAGCCTGAGCCATTCTTGGAAAGTGGGGATAATAATCCGGGATGGAGACGGGCTTGGTGGGTGGTGTGTGCACAGGGGTTAAATTCATAGCAGAGAAAGTATGCACCTTCGGCAGTGAAAAACTGACCTGCCAGGAGCATTCCAGTCGCGATGCATTCGAGGACTCGCCGCAGCGCCTCTCCAGGACCCAGTGGTCCCACAGAGCTATTCAGAACTCTTTCGACCAGGAGCTCCATAGCCTGCCCAGAGAGAGGAGCAGGTGAGGGGGAAGACAGGCGATTAGGCCGTTGAGAGACAGCAAAGAAGTCAAATGTGTCTTTAGGCATACAAAGCAACTCTTGGAGAATTTGGTAAGTGTCTTTCCAATCACAGAGTGGATCCAGGGTAGCTTAAACACAGCTCCTGGTGAAACCAATGGGGCTAATGGAACTGGAGATGAGCCTTGGAGGATTCAAGGACAGTTGATTGACCACCCTGATGTTAGGCCTGAGCCAGCCAGATGTGCCCAAGGCCCTCTGCTGTGGAGTCTTCCCTCGCAAATACTCTTCTTTGCAAAAAGGAACAGGCTTGAATACCAAATATAGTAATGAGGATGAAGAAATGACAGCAAAACCAACCAAGACAGCTGCACAGCAGGACTTGAATGTATGAAATGGGTAGCCTGGGTGGCTGGAGGAATCTTAGAGGGCACCCATGAAAGGGGTGCCAAATCCCCCACAGACACCCCTTCCCCACTTCCTGCAGGTTTATATACTACTCCATATTCCAGCATGGAGACTTTGGAGTGGCAAAGAATTAGAAGAACAAAGAGTTAAAAGGTACATTCAAAACAGGATCAATAGAACACGGAGCATGGCCAACTGGCCATCTGCACATCTCACTGCTTTGGTAGGTTAGCCAGGAAGAAGGCGCACTCCCAGGTGGCCTGACTCAAAGTGTGTGTGTGGGGGCGGGGGGGCTTGTACACCAGCATCACTCTAAACTGGTCTGGGACAGAAAGGAGCCAGTGTGGCCCCATTCCGTGTGGGAGCAGGCACATGCCAGACTCCTCATGGATGAGGGGGAAAGCTCCTGGAGTGGTCTAGCAGGCAAAGCGCCACAATCAATGCAGCATGGAATTGGCTGCAGGAAACCCCAAGGGGGCCAGGGTAGGAGCTGCAGTTCAGCAGCATCTGGAGGGCCACATGATCCCCACCTCTGCTTCAAGCAACAACTCTCCTGCTTCAGGACACTTCAGGAATGTTCCTGCTAAAAGCTGTGAGACAGGAATCTGCCAACTCTCTCTGTTCAGGATGCTCCTAAGCAAGCCGAAAACGACAGACACCCACTTCTCAGTCCTTCATAAGATCGCATACAGTCTTCAGGTGGGAGCACAGAGGGACAGGTGCTTCAACAGGGGCAGAGAGTGGCACACCCCATGGGCAGGCACTGATACGAGTATCATTTCAGACTTTATAATGCTCCCTGATCCCTCTGTGGAAATGGCTACATCTCCATCTCGCAGGGGGTTAGGGTTGGGGTTAGGATGAAGGACATACGTTGGCTCCAGAGGGGTTTCTGTCTTGACCTCCCCAGTTCTGAAAGAATTTGCTTTCAAGCAACACTGAATCACTTCTGAAGCTCCTGCATCTCTACAGGTGCTCCACTGCACCCCTGGATTATTTTTGGTACCTCTGCAGTCATTTGTGGCATTTAAATGCCCCCCCAAGCAAGATGTTCACATGGTAGCCCATGTGACAAGCTTTGGGGTGCCCCTGGAGGGAAGATGCCTCCTCCCCTGCTTCCAGTGGCCCAATTTGGGTTCCAGTCCCAACAGTCAGCCACACAAACCTGGAGCACAGAAGGAGCAGTGCAGCCTGGGTTTGGGGAGAGCTTGTTCCCTTTCCCACCTCCTTACCCAGTTTGGAAGGGCGCCCCACGTTGGCACACGCTGGCAAAGGTCCCGCAAAACCCGGATGATGATCACGCATGACTGCAAGCTGTTGGCTCGGGCCTTTGTGGGGGGAGAAGCAAAGCAAATGGAACAAACTCACACTCACCCTGGGCTGGTGTGCTAAGAGGTGCTACTGCAAGGTACTCTCCCAGGGAGCAAGAGGCACAACCTAGCCATTCCCTGCCCCATGGGCCACAAGGGAGGGTGCATGGGCTCCTGAGCCCCTAAAGCACCCCAGCAAAGGCAGGTGCACGGGCCACCATTCGGTGCCTGCCCCACCCCCCGCACACCTGCATGGCTGGGGGCAGGGAGGTTCTGCAGCTGCTTCTGCACCAGGAGCAGTTGAGCCATTCATGCCTGGGGCCAACACATCAGCAATGCCAGCTCCAGGCTCTTCCTGCCTGTAGTGAAGGCCCAAGAGAGGCTTTTCAGCCTCTTAGAATGGGGAGGGGGAACAGCAAAAACATAAATCCAGGAAGCCTCCAAGTGACTGGCAGCCTGCAGAATGGGGGTGGAGACTGCAAGAGGAGAGCAGGGAGGTTACCCATAATGGCATTGCCTGAGCACCTCCTCGTCCTCTGGGGAAAAAGGGGTGACGGTGAAGCCAGAAGCTTGCATCTCTCTCCTGCATCCACTTGCCCGTCGGGCACTGTGTGTTCAGGTCAGTTCAGACGGGCTTTGTGTTTTGTACCTGGAACCATTTAGCGTGGCGGAGAGCAGCCAGGGACTCCAGGCACTTTTCTTGGCTCAGCATCTTGGAAGAGCTGAGCTCAGGTTCTGACGGCGTTCCTGCGGAGGACCCAAAGGCAGGGAGATGTAGAGAGAGAGAAGGAAAGGGGGAGCGAGAGGGCAGGGCCTGCTAAATCAACCCAACCAGGAGGTAAGCCTAGTTCATGCATGGGCCCCTCCTCCTCTGCACAGTTTTGCCAGTTCCACCAGCGGGCAGGCAAGGGATACCTCTGGTCCTCCCGATGCAAGACATCCTCATACCTTGCAAGTGGGGACAAGACCCACATGCAGCTTGCACAAGCTGATCCAAATCCCCTGCAATACACCGATGTGTGGAGCCTGCCGCAGGGAGCCAGCCCACACAGCAAGTCAGAGATCTATGCCTCCTGTTTACTTTGGGAGCCACTGGCTGAACCAGGTCTGCCCCAGTAGGCTCGGGCAATGCCTCTTGCAATGCACAGGCAGAGCTGGGGGTGGGGGTGCTGCATGTGCTCCTTTCCATTTTGACATGTCCTTCCTCATGCAAGTTTGAACAGCCAACCCCAGTTTGCTCACTTCAGGCCTACGATGTTGAAAAAATGACATACAAGGGTAACTGGAAGAAGAGGGGGAAGAAAACTATGAACTGCTAGCAATGCTAATCGCTAGCTGCGGCTGCTACAATAAGGTTTGCATCCCTGTGCTTCCTGCTGCCTCCTTCAGTCTTGCTTAGGTACCACAGCTGCATGAGCCACAGATAGTGGGACAACTAGAGTGCTCACAGAAGTGCAAGATGCATGCACACAGCAGAGCTTGGACCAAAGAAAACCTTGGACCACGAAAGTGCTGTTGAGACAGTGTGACAATTCACTAACTATAGGTTTACTCTAACTATGATGCAGTGTAAACTGCTGCTTGAGCTCCCAGGTGTATAAAAGGAAAGCAACTAACAGCTGTGGGTCATGTTTTCCCTGCTCAGCTGCCTCATTCTGGTGGGGCAGGAGCCTCCAAAGGCAAGAGCCTAAGGGGGTAAAATGGAAAGGAGGATTCTGTAGGCCACCCTGAATTCCTTGGAGGAAAAGAGGTGGGGCATAAACATAGTTAAGAAAGAATGCTCCAGGAGGGCTGGGAAATTGCAGCCCCTCTGAAATCGCGGCCAATCACTAAGGGCTTGACCTGGCACAGGGCACTTAAGTTTACCCTTTCAGTAGATTTAAGTAAGAGTTGAATCTTACTAACGTCTTGACTTCTGGGGGAGGAGCAGAGCAGATGAAGCAAGGCAGCCCAGTGCGCCTGCCCTGGGATGCTGTCTCCTCGAAGTTGGTCTCTCCGAAGGCTGCTCCACACAAGGAGGGGATAAAACTTCAGTGCCGCAGCAAGACTTGTGGGGGTGGGCAACATTCAGAGACTCACCAGGGTCTGTGGGAGCCCCTTCCCTCATAAGGGGGGATGTGAGTGAGACTGTGACTTGCATCCTGGGCTTGCTGCAGGAAGCAATCACAATGTTTGCTTCTTCAAAGTTGGACATGATCTCGTATTCGTCACTCGTCACCTTCTGCAATAAAAGAAGAAGCAAGTGTCCACCTTGTTCAGACTCTGGGTGGGAACCCCATGGGCTTCTGGTTTCTCTTTGCAGATTCCTGAGGTAGGAATCCTACCTGAGAAGCATCACGCAACCAGCTCCCAGCCTCTTCCTGCCTCTCTCTCAAGGAAGACCATCCAAACTGAATCAGGCTGTGAGCATAGAAGTGGGCCTGCAGTGGGCTTCCCGCTCTGTTCCACCACAAAGGCTGGGTTTCCATTCCCTTCAAGGCCTCCATGCCAAGGCCTTGTCCCACCCTCCCTTCCTGCCTCCTCCAACTCCGTTCCCCTCAGCTTCTTCCACAATGCAATCTATTTCCCCTTGTTGCCTCTTATACCACAGACTCCCAATTCAAATGGCCATGTGGCAGTGCCCCTTCCCCTTCAAATCAGCCTGCCCTGGATTGGGCTCCACTCTTTAGTCTCCCTACCCAGCTGCACCCAAGATTTAAAGGCACACATCTGGCTTACATGGGACTGGCTCACAGAATGTGACAAGACAGGATGTGGGCTGAGTACATGCAGAGGGGGGACTGTTGTTGGCACTTGGGTTGTTGCATTGTGTGAACCCAGCAGTGTTGACAACCATGGCTTGTTAACCAGAAGCAACCTGCAGTTTGCAACCCAACAAGTCATGGCTTCTCTCCATGGGATGTTTGTGGTTAGCAAAGATCACAAGTCACTCAACCTGCACTCTAACGGGTGGTGTTGTGTGAAGCCAGCCGTCCTGCCATCTGCTCCACTGATGTCCTTGTAATCCATTTTGTAGCGCAGTGCAGGGGCGGGGCTATCTTCATGATGGGAATCTTGCCGAACACCATCTATCAGAGGCCCCTGGGGAACGGTACCCCAAGCCAGCAACACAGAGCAGCAAGAGAGCATCTCGTACCCCAAGCTGTTTGGGCAGCTCTTCAGCAATGCTCTGGAGGAGGGCCAGCGTGGGCTTCTGGGCAGACAGCAGGATGAGCTGGACGCTCCTGTCCCCGCGGAGGAGCAACCCCTTTGCCAGGATGCCCACACGCATGACCCCTTTCAGGATTCGGGGCACATCCTCCTTCTTCCTGCGGAAAGGATTGGTAGGAATGATTAAGTCAGGAGTGTTTTGAGCAAGGATGTCTCAGATGCTGAGCACTTCCTTGGTGATCCCCCCAAAGAAAGGGACCAGGTTGCTTCTGCGTTGCTCAGCCTCTGCAACTAAGTTTGAGGTCTCATGCTGTGGACCTCACAGTTGCCCCTTTAGCAACCATCAGAACCTGTCCCGGCCAAGGCGAACTTGCATGGCTGCGGGCAGAGGCTGCCTGAAGGAGACAGTCAAACAGAGTGCCTGGATGGCCTCCTGGCAGAGGGAGCCCTCAGAAGGGTCCTGTTCAAAGGTTGCCTTTGCCCTCCTTCAGCCTAATTAGCATCACAGTCAGGAAGAGGGGCTAGTGGGGCTGACAGTCCCTACAGCCAGATTTTACAGGGCAAGTGCTTCCAGTATTACTACTACAGGTTATTCCTAGTGGCCCACAGAGCTGAAGTGGCCGCTGTGACAGGGCTTGCACAGGTAGGCTGCCTCGGATGACCAGGAGAGCTTCTTGGTGCTCGGACCTGCATAGCAGCCATCCCGATAATTCAGTAAGCCAGCTGCCTCCGAGAGGCTGCTGCCACACTCCCCCACAAAACCACCAAGTCAGGAAAAGGGAAGAACTGTGTAGGTAAAGGCCAACCATTACCCCCTCTCCTCAGGTGCATCCTCCTTCCCAGTTCCCTGCTCCGTCAGCCAATCTGAGATGAGCCTCAGGGCATGCTCGGAATGAGACACGACTTTCTGAATGGCCTGGAGCTCCTCCTCTGTTGGGTAGATGCTGGAGTGCTTGGACATGATGTGGCGATCATCAGAAGAGCTGAGTCGCCGAGCAGGCTGAGGGAGGTAAAAGGGACAGATTTTAGTGATCAGTTTGGGGGGAGGAGGGAAGGGCTGTGCCATTGAATCAACTGCTCTTAACGAGGACACAGAGATGCAACATCTCAAATATTTCAAGTCTGCTGAGGAGGAACTGCGGTGGGGGTAGGGAAGGCCCAGCAAAGAGGGGTGCTGGACTGGGAGGGGTGCTGAAGCCGTTCTCATTCCTCTTCAAGCTGACTGAAACTTGCCCTGTGTTCTAACCTTTGCTGAGCAGGGTGGGACAACCCAGAGTTCTCTTTGGGCATCATGGGCGAAGCAGGCTTGACCCACCCGATGCCTTCCGGATGGGCTGGAGGTGTGGCCAACTGGTCTCCCTGGGTGGTTGAGCTGCTCCAGGGGCATGGTGGGAGCTTCTCCTTAAACATGCACAGGGTCGCAGGTAAGTACTCTGGGTATCGGTAGGATAACATGAGCCACTGGATTTACTTGGGGAGCATTTTCTCCACTAGAGATAGACCTGTCATGGGGTAAAAAATACCCCCACCAAAAACAGCCAACCCTTAGTAACAGAAGTTCTAAACTGAACAGTTTGAAACTCTTGCAGCATTCTGAGTTCACAGTGCCCCTGTTCTGACACTTCCCTGTTCTGGGGGAATTTCAGCACCCCAAGTTAAATGGGAAATGGCTTGGGAGTATCAAGGCACCTGCTCCTGCAAAAACATGTCCGTGCGAGCTGACATGTTACAACTGCTCCCCAGACAGCTTGCCTGGCGCCAATGCTTCTTTCCTTCTGGTGCCAGGCGAAAATCTTTTTATTCTCCCACTATTTTACTACCTTGTCGTGGCAAAGGGGCTTGTGTAGCTCGATGAAGCTATGAACTATGCCATGCAGGGCCACCCAAGACAGACAGGTCATAGCAGAGAGCTCTGACAAAACGTGATCAACTGGAGAAGGAAATGGCAACCCACTCCAGTATCCTTGCCATATAAACCCCATGGACAGTACCAGGACCAAAGGTCAAAACAATATGACACCAGAAAATGAGCTCCTCAGGTCAGAAGATGTCCAATGTGCTACTGGGGAAGAGCAACGGGCTAGTACTAGTAGTGCCAGAAAGAATGAAGTGAACGGGTCAAAGCCGAAAGGACACGCAGTTGCGGATGTATCTGGTGGTGAAAGGAGAGTCCGATGCTGCAAAGATCTATACTCCATAGGAACCTGGAATGTAAAAGCCATGAATCAAGGCAAGCGGGACATGGTCAAACATGAGATGACAAGACTGAACATCGACATCTGGGGAATCAGTGAACTAAAATGGACAGGAATGGGTGAATTTAATTCAGATGACCATCGGGTATACTACTGTGGGCAAGAATCCCCCAGAAGAAATGGAGTAGCCTAGTCAATAAAAGAGTAGGAAAAGCAGTACTTCAAAATGACAGAATGATCTCAGTTCGAATTCAAGGCAAACCATTCAGCATCACCGGAGTCCAAGTCTATGCCCCAACCACTGATGCCAAAGAGGCTGAAGTTGACCAGTTCTATGAAGGCCTACAACACCTTCTAGAATTAACACCAAAAAATGATGTCCTTATCATCATGGGGGATTAGAATGCCAAAAGATAACTGGAATAACAGGCAAGTTTGGCCTTGGGAGTACAAAATGAAGCAGGGCACAGGCTGGTAGAATTTTTGTCAAGAGAATACAATGGTCATAGCAAACACTCTTTTCCAACAACCCAAGAGACGACTTTACACATGGACATCACCAGATGGTCAACACAGAAATCAGATTGACTATGTGCTCTGCAGCCAAAGATAGAGAAGCTCTATATAAGGGGTCCTCAAACTTTTTCACCAAGCCAATTGAAAGCTGCTGGTGCTGGGCGCGGGCTGGAAAGGTGGTGCCAGTGGTGGGTGGGGGCGGCATGTGTGGGCACGGGTGCTGAGGTGGGGGTGGGGTGCGCAGAGAGGCAAGGTGAGCCGAGGCATGGGTGGGCACGCGAGGGGAGGGGAGGAGCAGGTAGGCACATGTCACAAGGTGGGAACATGAGGCAGCAGCTCGCTTTACCAACTGCAGCCTCCCCGTGCAAGGGGCGAGGTGGGTGGTGGCGGAAGGCATGCGAGTGGGCGCAGACACACATGCAGTGGGTCCAAATGGGCATGGTGGGCCGAATCCGACCCCCGGGCAGTAGTTTGCAGACCCCTGCTCTATAGAGTCAGTAAAAACAAGACCAGGAGCTGCCTGTGGCTCAGATCATGAGCTTTTTGTTGCAAAATTTAGGCTTAAATTGAAGAAAGTAAGGGAAAGCAATAGGCGACTCAGGTATGACCTAAATCATATCCCTGATGAATATACAATACAGGGGACAAATAGATTTAAGGAATTAGATCTGAAGACAGAGTGCCTGAAGAACTACGGACGGAGGTTCGCAACATTGTACAAGAGGTAGCAACTAAGACCATCCCAAAGGAAAAGAAATGCAAGAAAGTAAAATGGCTGCCTGAGGGAGCTTTACAAATAGCTGAGGAAAGAAGGGAAACGAAAGGCAAGGGAGAAAGAGAAAGATACACCCAATTGAATGCAGAATTCCAGAGAACAGCTAGAAGAGACCAGAATGCCTTCTTAAATGAACAGTGCAAAGAAATTGAAGAAAACAATAGAATAGGGAGGACCAGAGATCTCTTCAAGAAAATTGGAGATATGAAGGGAACCTTTCATGCAAAGATGGGCATGAGAAAGGACCAAAATGGCAGGGACCTAACAGAGGCAGAAGAGATTAAGAAGAGGTGGCAAGATTACACAGAAGAACTATACAAGAAAGAGCTTAACGTTCCTGATAACCATGATGGGGTGGTCACTGACCATGAGCCAGACATCCTGGTAGGAAGTCTGAGCAACAACAAAGCTAGTGGGGGCGACAGTTGAGCTATTCCAGCTGAGCTATTCAAAATCTTAAAAGATGATGCAGTAAAAGTGCTACACTCAATATGCCAGCAAATTTGGAAAACTCAACAGTGGCCACAGGATTGGAAAAGGTCAGTTTACATTCCGATCTCAAAGAAGGGCAATGCCAAAGAATGTTCAAACTATTGCACCATTGCACTCATTTCACATGCTAACAAAGTTATGCTCAAAATCCTACAAGCTAGGCTCCAGCAGTATGTGGACTGAGAACTACCAGAAGTACAGGCAGAATTTTGAAGAGGCAGAGGAACTAGAGATCAAATTGCCAACATACGCTGGATCATGGAGAAAGCTAGGGAGTTCCAGAAAAACATCTACTTCTGCTTCATTGACTATGCTAAAGCCTTTGATTGTGTGGATCACAACAAATTGTGGCAAGTTGTTAAAGAGATGGGAGTACCAGACCATCTTATGTGTCTCTTGAGAAAGCTGTATGGCGGTCAAGAAGCAACAGTGAGAACTGGACACGGAACCACTGAGTGGTTCAAAATTGGGAAAGGAGTTCGGCAAGGCTGTATACTGTCGCCCTGCCTATTTAATTTATACGCAGAGCACATCATGAGAAAGGCGGGGCTAGATGCATCACAAATTGGAATTAAGATTGCTGGGAGAAATATCAACAACCTCACATATGCAGATGATACCACTCTCATGGCAGAAAGTGAAGAGGAACTAAAGAGCCTCTTGATGCGGGTGGAGGAGGAGAACGCAAAAGTTGGCTTGAAACTCAACATTAAAAAAACTAAGATCATGGCATCCGGTCTTCTCACTTCCTGGCAAATAGATGGGGAAGAAATAGAGGTAGTGACAGATTTTATTTTCCTGGGCTCCAAGATCACCGCAGACAGGGACTGCAGCCAAGAAATTAAAAGACGCTTGCTCCTGGGGAGGAAAGCTATGGCAAATCTAGACAACATACTGAAAA